GAAAGGAGAGAAAAGCGCAAGATTTATTCAACTTACTGGCTAATTCTAACCGATCTCTCTTCTCTAGGATGGTTAGAAAACCTTCCATGTGGAAAATGCCTTCTAGCACTTTCCAGGGGATAGTGTGAGGGAAGCTGGCTCTGGAACCACATATCCTGGGTTCAGATCATACTTATTAGCTGTGTAATATTACAAGATAATTAACATCTCTAAACCTCAGTTTGTACTTGTGAAAAATGCAGAAAATAACAGAACCCACCTCGTGGGTCTGTTGTGCAAGTTACGTAAAGAAATAAAAGTAAAACGCTGAGTTGACAAAGTGCCTAGAAAATAGCAAGCACTAAATAAATTTTAGTTATTGCTAATTGTGACCTAAAGATTCAATTATGAAAAATGGTTATGGGGCCGGCCCGGTGGCGTAAGCGGTTGGGTGCTCGCGCTCCGCTGCGGCGGCCCGGGGTTCGCTGGTTCGGATCCCGGGCGCGCACCGATGCACTGCTTTGGCAAGCCATGCTGTGGCGGCGTCCCATATAAAGTGGAGGAGGATGGGCACGGATGTTAGCCCAGGGCCGTCTTCCTCGGCAAAAAAAGAGGAGGATTGGCGGATGTTAGCACAGGGCTGATCTCCTCACAAAAAAATAAATAAATAAATAAATCCTCTGCCCTTTAAAAAAAAAAAAAAAAGAAAAATGGTTATTTCTTAGATATCTAATATTTATTACTGGCAGAACTGGCTAGGATAATGTTCCTTGGTATACTATAATTGTTCTTAGGACTTTTTAAAAGAAAGTTTGGTTCCTTTCCATTTTATCACATAAGCTTAATCCCATATAATACAGAAAGTACAAAAAGTGTTGTTCAACACTAGTAGTTACTTTTGTAAACGGATGATTCATGCTAACTAAAGTTGCAACCCAGGAGAATAAAATTAGCTTGTTTCCACATTTCCTTTCGTTTGATAATTACAATTCAAGGTTATGTTATATACCACGTTACTATAATTTTGCCTGAGAGACAGACACTGCACATCCCACATTTTCAAAAACAGGCACTGCTGATATAAATCCAGGTGCTTGCTGAATAAAGGTCTTGAAGACTTCACAAGCAATTCTTACCAACCTTGTGCTCAAGTGTCACTCACTTCTGTGCATTCTGTAGCTAGGAAGGAAGTACTGAGATCATGTTAGCTTGTCACAGATTCACCGGATTTGCAGGAGGATGAGAATTTAAAAATAGAAGCCAAACGTGGCTGCAGTTTATCTCAGATGCTTATGTTCAAGTAGTGATCTGTTCATCCATGATGACAGCAAGCATTCCATCGGATGATTTAAATTTTCATAAACTCAGTCAGAATTCCACTACTTCTCAGGGGCCGGCCCGGTGGCACAAGCAGTTAGAAGCTTGCGCTCTGCTGTGGCAGCCCGGGGTTCGCCGGTTTGGATCCCGGGCGCGCACCGACGCACCGCTTGTTAAGTCGTGCTGTGGCAGGGTCCCATATAAAGTGGAGGAAGATGGGCACGGATGTTAGCCCAGGGCCAGTCTTCCTCAGCAAAAAAGAGGAGGATTGGCATTGGATGTTAGCTCAGGGCTGGTCTTCCTCACAAAAGAAAAAAAAGAATCCCACTACTTCTCAACCTGGTGGACCACGGATATACAGACACCTCACATTCTGATCCATTTGGTTTCAAAGTGCTGTCTCTGTAGAGAGCTTTTTTTGGCTGTTGTTCATGAGAGGTGACAATGAGGAGGTAACATTTATTCAGTACTCATCATGTGCCCGGCACAGTGTTGAGTCATTTACACAAATTAGATCTCAGAGAATCTTCACATTTTTCTAAGGTTAATCTCCATTTTATAGCTTGGAAACTTGGAGCTTAGAAGGGCAAATAAAATTCCAGAGGCAATGGCATATCCAGGTTTTTGTGGAGCCTGAACTTTACATTAGTTTTAAAGGAAAGAATGTTAAATTGTGAATGCTAAATTAGGTTCAAGGCCCTAGAAGGGGTTAGAATAAATAAGGGGCCCTGAGACATGAGCTTCAATGGTAACCAATTTGTGTCTGCTTGACTGACCACGCTGAGCTACAGAGACAAAGGAATTTGATGAATAGAAACGTGAACTGTAAGGTGAAAATCATTCATTTTTAGAAACTCTTGGCTATAATTAAGTTGCACTAGGGTTTTTTTAAATTTTTAAAAAGATTTTTTTTGTTTGTTTAATGTGTCAGGATAAATGAGGGGGTGGTGAGTCATCAGTCTCCAATGAAGCACTAGGCAGTAATTTAGATGGTCTGAGTATGCAGAATGCAGAAAAATTCTGAGTTCTGTCTTGTACATACCTTAGAAAATCTTTGCCCTTCTGTGAGCAATGAGAAGTTAGAAAGTTTAGATAAAATTTATCTGTGATGCCTTTTGAATAAAACTTGTGTGAAGTGGCAATCGCTTTTCTAAACACTGTGCCAATTTTTCTTGAATGGTTTCTCCACTGTTAGCAAAATATGTGATGCTGACTGAACACATTCTCTCCCTTGGAATCAATTGTTTGTTCTACCAAGAAAACTCCTTCTATCCAAAATGAAAAATTTATCTTGCCAGAATGAGGGAAGTCTTAATTTATTTCCCCAAAGCAAATCTAATAATTTCAGAATTCAGCAAAGGTAATTCTTATTACCACCATATCAGAATGTAGTTCTAGTAAGAACTTCAAATCATATTTATCTTTTCTCAAAGTTTTATGAAATTATTTCTTTTCACATGAGGAATTTCATGAAAATCTCTGACAAAGAATATGGGAAAGGTACTCTGAATTGTGATTTCCTGAAAATGTTGAGTTTTACTACTTCCCAGAATATATGTGAATAGAGCTACATATGGCTGCCCAGGCTGCCCACTGCACAACTCGAAGGGACACCATTTAGAGAGACCACAGAGTAAGAAGCGTTGCCTGGAACAGGACAGTCCAGTAGCCCTGACAGAAACAGTATACTGACTGAAAAGAATGGTTGCTATCTATCTCAGAAAATAAGGACGTGCCTGAAAAAATGAAGGGGGCATGTCATAGAGAAACATGGGCCAGCTTGTACCCAAATGGCTAAATTTGGGACAATCTGAGCATCAACATAAATATGGACAGGAATACATTTTAACCCACTGAAGGAAGTAAGAATCCATAATTCCATGCTGATAATAATAGGTAAGTAAATAAATAAATGAGAGAGAAGGAAAAGCTCTTCTTTACAGTAGAATGGCAACCAACAAATGTAGAAGGAACAATGGAGTTGTTAGAAATGCATGTTTTTGCCACTTTCATAGGAAAAACTGAATCAGACAGAAATCATCAATAGCTGCTCAATAAGGGAGGGAGGGACTTAGAGAAGAAACAGGACACTGACAGAATCTCAAAGTATCTCCTTTCAAATTTCCCAGTAATCACAAAGTAAATGGTAATTGTATAGCAGAGAAATCAGACAACACCTTAACCAAATGATCAAAGTTAATGTCACCAATAAGGGGCAAAGGGACATGTCGTGCCTCCAGACTGATTCCCTGAGAAGGACACAGCACATACATAGCAATCCAGCCAAAAATGCATAATCTGAATCTAAACACACAGAGACCATGAAACCCAAATTGAAGGCTATTCTAGAAACAACTTGCCTACAGTCTTCAGAAATGTCATGAAACATAAAGACGGCTAAGGAACTGTTTCAAATTAAAGGAGACTAAAGAGATATGATAGTGAAATACAATAAGTGGTCCTGGACTAGACACTGTCCTGGAGGGAAAAAATGCAATAAAGGGCATTATTGGGACAAAACTGAAACATGGACTGTAGATTAGATAAAAGAATTAAACATCCTGAATTTGCTAACAGTACTGTGGTTACATAAGACGATATCTTTGTTCTTAGGAAATACATAAAGAAGTATTGGGGGTGTATGCTGTCTACTCTCAAATGATTCAGAATAAATAGATAATATATGCAGTATCTTTCTCTGTGTGTAGAGGGAAGGAGGGAAAGAATGATAAAACAAACACGGTAAAATGATGTTAGAAATGGGTAAAACTGGGTAAATGGCATAATACATTATACTATTGCAGTCTCAAATAAAGTCAAAAGCAAAAACAAAAAACAATTTTGAGGAGCAGCAGAGTTCAGCCTGCTTTAATGAGCAGAAAAGTAATTCAACTTGTAATTGGCAATGCAAAATAAGAGTTAAATCTTTAGAAACACTCTGTTGCCATCATTATCATAATCACCACCATTACCATTTTGGGCACACTTACTAAGTGGTAAGCACCCTGAGAGATGTTTCACTTGCATTACCGAAAATTTTTCAAGCCCCTAGATGTCTCCTAAACTCTTAGAACAGTGCTGGCACATAGGATACATTCTAAGAAATAATGCATTGTTACTTCGTTGCTGTGTGGACATCATAGAGTGTACACAAACCTAGATGGTATAGCCTACTACACACCTAGGCTATATGGTACTAATCTTATGGGACTACCATTGTATACACAGTCCGTTGTTGACCAAAATGTCATTATGCAGCTCATGACTGTACTTTTAAACCAGACCACAATGCTCATTTTTCAAATGGCATCTTGTGAAATTATGACATCAAAGTCATTGACAAAAGCAACATTCAAGTTGTGCCCAGGGTTATTCAGAGACATGGGAGCTCAGAGGTTGCCTACACATATTGACTGTCATCCCAAGACTACAGAGACATTCTTTGTGTTTGCAAAATTTTCATTTTATAAATATCTAATTAGAATCTGCATCCAACTACATGCATTAATTAGAAATAACTATGACAAAATGAATCTGAGCTTTCACTGATAGATAAAATAACCACACACAAGTGTTTGATTCTTCTTTTTCTAAGTCATTATACTCTCTAGTTTATAGACAATTCCTATTTTCTCACTGTGGAGGAAAAAATATATTCAAGTCCCCTTCCTCTGCCTTTGTTTGCCCTTTGTGAGGGGTTTTACCTGCATAATGTACCGGAATCTCTATCTTTGGCCCAATGACGTAGTGCCCCTCCTCCAAGCTATGGGCAGTGATGGTGGTCCACTGACGGCACGAATGGATCAGAAGGTAGTCATTTTCCCGCAGCCCTTCTATGCATTCCCCTAGAAAATACAATTTTATATAAAAAACTTAGAATTACCATCTGCTTACTTCATACTCTGCAATAAAATTTCATTAGTTAAAATGTCACTAAAGCAGAATTGATAGTTGATCCCAAGAGGAGATAAAGCTCACTTCTGAATTAGCAATAAAAAAGGCAGTCCATACTAAGTTGACAGGTGTACACAGGATTCCATAAAAATGTTTCCCACTTATTTGCAAACAGATTTTCAAATACCTCATTTTCTCTAAATGATTATATTTCAATGATAATATTTAATAAATGCCAACAATACATTAGGCACTACTTATGTGTTTTGCATATATTATTTCATGTAATACAGTAACATTATGAGATAAGTATTGTTCCTTCTTTACATGTGAGAAAAATCAAAGTTCAGAATGTTAAGTAACAAGGGTAAGCTCACAGATTTAACAAGCAGAAAAGTGGGGATTCAGGCTGAGGTCAGATTGATTTCAAAGCTGCTGCTCTTAATCACTACAATATAACTACCAAAAATAAATACATAAACTTATCTCTCTGTTGAAACAGTACTTGAAATTAAATGCCTATATCTCCTTTTAAATTTTATGTTTTGCCAGTTCTCTCTGGCCTCCTATCAAACGTCCCAATCGATTAAAAAGTGAAGCTTTATAGCATACAAATGAAACTATTTTTCATTTCATTATTTTCTGAAGTAGCTTTTCAGCATTTGAACAGATGACAAACTATTTCAAAAGAGAAATCCATTCCCTGAAACTTAAAAGATATTTTTTCAGATGTCGAAATAATCTACCCCATTAATCCTAGCTTAGTAATTTTAAATGATCAAAGGAAATACCTGAAAAGGCTAATTCCTTTAGAAAACAATTAGCCTTCCTTATTTTTGACATTTATTATATTGCAATAATTAAAAGAGTTATTAGTGATTTAAATGTGTGTTTTGAAATGGCATTTACAGATCCCTTAAAAATTCTTAAAAGTGTCTATACTTTTTCAATAAAGTAGAAGATGTACTGATCATCCTCTACTGATCACCTTGGTTGTACAACCATAAATCATTTAATTTGTTTCCAAAGCAACACGCCAACAATCTTTAAAATAGTCTTAATGCAAGAATACTTCACCTGGGCCGGCCCCATGGTTTAGCGGTTAGGTGAACGCACTCCGCTGCTGGCGGCCCTGGTGGCTCAGGTTCGGATCCTGGGCGCGCACCAAGGCACCGCTTCTCCGGCCATGCTGAGGCCGAGTCCCACATACAGCAACTAGAAGGATGTGCAGCTATGACATACAACTATTTACTGGGGCTTTGGGGGGAAAAAATAAATAAATAAAATCTTTAAAAAAAAAAAAAGAATACTTCATCTTCGTCACAGGAAATACAAGGAGTTAAGAGATTCTAGGGGGAGGGAGTAGGATGGGGGAGAAAGAAACAGGCCTGGAAGTGGAGGTACCATAGCAGGAGAGGAAGGTCTGACTCCCCAAGAGGGCTTTTTTTCAAACCAGACTCCCCTGCCCTTCATGCTTTGGGAGGACCAGGTTCATAAAGACACCTCTCTGGGGCCGGCCCCCTGGCTTAGCGGTTAAGTGCGCACGCTCCGCTACTGGCGGCCTGGGTTCGGATCCTGGGCGCGCACCAACACACTGCTTCTCTGGCCATGCTGAGGTCGCGTCCCACATACAGCAACTAGAAGGATGTGCAACTATGACATACAACTATCTACTGGGGCTTTGGGGAAAAAAAAAGGAGGAGGATTGGCAATGGATACAACTATCTACTGGGGCTTTGGGGAAAAAAAAGGAGGAGGATTGGCAATGGATGTTAGCTCAGAGCTGGTCTTCCTCAGCAAAAAGAGGAGGATTAGCATGGATGTTATTAGCTCAGGGCTGATCTTCCTCACAAAAAAAAAAAAAAAGACACCTCACTGGAAGGCCACTGGTACTCACGAGCCCTCTGCATCCCTCAAGCATGTTAGCGCAGGAACCACTGCCCCAAAGGAGAAATCACAGGCCCTACAGCCCCCCTCGGAGCTCCTACCAAGGAGGCAGGAGGGTGGGAAGGGGACATACACAGCAGATGGGATTACAAGCACCTGCTTTGAAGTCTAGCAGACCTGGTCTAGTCAAAGCTCTGCCCCCACCACTGTGTGGTCCTGGGCAGGAACCTTCTCCTCTTCACTTGTGAGATGAGGCACCAACGGTCCCTGCTTTACAGAGTGGTTGTGAAGATACACGGCGACAGCGATGGAAAGTGTGTAGCACCAAGTCTGTCATATTACATTGAGAGTGATCAGCTACTAATTCTATGTATTGTAAGCTTTTTCTCCCTAAAATTTAATCCTTATATAACCATTATAATTTAGGTCATATTATCCTTTTACCGGCGAGGAAGTCACCTTCAGAGCAGGCCAGCAACTTGCCCAAAGCTGCACAGCTAGTAAGTGGCAGAAACCGACAGGAGTCTCTCTCTGTCTCTTTCCTGCCCTTCCAACACCACACTGCCCCTCACCTTGAAAACTGCTGACAATGATCCAAAAACAGGGAGAAGCTGATCTTCAGCCTCAAGTCCCACTCATTTACTCAACCAATGTGACAAGCACTATTGCCAGCGCTTGGGATACATCACTGAACAAAACACAGATCCCTGCCCCAGGGTGGTACTACAACAGGAAGGAGAGAGAAGGTACCCTTAATAAAAGTGAATAATTAAGTTATGAATTCATCAGAAAGTGAAAGGTGCTATGGGTAAAGGGTAAGAGGATCCGGGTATACCATGAGAAAGGAGAGCAGTTTGCAAGTTTGTCATGTTAAGATATTCCTCATTCATTTATCCAACAATATTTAGCCTTTTAAAAAAACAGCTTTATAGGGGCCGGCCCGGTGGTGTAGTGGTTAAGTTCTCGCACTCTGCTTCGGCGGCCTGGGGTTTGCAGGTTCGGATCCCAGGCACAGACCTATGCACCGCTTATCAAGCCATGCTGTGGCAGGCGTCCCACATACAAAGTAGAGGAAGATAGGCACGGATGTTAGCCCTGGGCCAGTCTTCCTCAGCAAAAGGAGGAGGATTGGCAACAGAGGTTAACTCAGGGCTAATATTACTCACCAAGAAACAAAAAAAACAAACCCCCAAAAAACCCCCACCTCTACTGATGTATAATTGATATACAAAGAAATGCACATATTTAATGTGTAAAATTTGAAGACCAACAAACACTTTGAGTATCTTTTATGCACAAAGCAATGGGGGAGTGGGCAAAAATAGAAAGACAACTTGATCCCTGCATTCAAGACGTGGACATTTTCATGGGTGAGACAGATTCATATGTAATTTTATGTAAGGTAGGACATGATGAGTGCTATGCAAGACGCAGAAGAAATCTAGAGCAGAGATGGAGACTTAGCAGAGAAGACCAAGAAAATGTTAACAGGAATATATATACCATTGGGGCTCGTCCTTCTTTGATGGATGAGTTGGGCTTCGAGGAGAGGAAGGCAATGGGAAGGGACGGAAGAGTTCTGGATAAGAGAATGGCCAGAACTCTGCTTTCGGAAAATTAATCTGGCAGTACTACAAAAGATGGATGGGAGAAAGGAGAAACCAGAGGCATGGGGTGTTTGCAGGCAACTCAGAGGGAAAACACAGTGCCATTCAGGGAAAAAAGAAAAATGTTATTTTCTGCAACTAAATTGTTATAACATAAAGACTGTTTTAATTTTATTCCACAGTGGGCTCTAAAGAGGCAGCTAAGAAACAACTGCAGTCAAGTTAATCAAAATAAAAATTTAATGTTGAATCCTACTGCTAGCTAATGTAGTAAACACTCTATCAAGAGGATTCAGGATAATTTTTGGAACCATAAAGTAGTAAGAGACCAATGCCTATTTTTGAGCTTATGTCTTTTTTATTTTTTTAAACAACTGAACCATGTGCCTGCTTTAGGCAAAATAAGTTTTGCAAAAATTGTCTAGAAATAAAACTTAACATAATCACTTAAAATATCTTAGGGTAGACAACCCATAGAGACATTACATGAATTCACAAAGTAAACAGTTTTTTTTGATATAATTATCCTGTTGTTTAACTACTATGTATAACATACTAAAACTTAAATTTAGCTCAATGATGTAGTAATAAGAAGTCTAAAATAACTGTGTGTTAAATTTCAAAATATTAGGTAATGCCATCCAGAAATTTCCCCACATCTAGCATGCTTCTGGGATATACTTTACTTGCCTGGTTTGAGACCTTGACCCCCTCAACATTAAGTCTTACATATGTGTTGAAATCGTTTTTAATGCTAGGAGAACTAGAATCCATCAATCCTTCAAAGTAAGTCTGCTTAAAAAAAGAATCAATCTCCAAACTTAAAACATATTTATAACCTGGACATGCACAAATTCTGCTCCTTTGGTTGCTGGGCCAATCTAATTTCCTGATTCACCTTTCTAACTTCTCCCTTTTACATTAGCTGTAACTGTAGGAGTTAATCAAGGCTCCACCCTTAGCCTGTTGACCTTTTCTCTCTCATTTACAATCTTATACACCTCTCAAGGGTTCAGTTAGTTATGGACAACTCTCAAACCCAGGCTACCAGTTACTAACTTCTATTCTGAGCTCATAGTCCAGACTTTATCTACTACACATTTCTATCTGTGTGACCCCTTGCCATTCATTCAAGCATCACACACTCATTCATTCAACAAACACTTATTGAGGACCAGCCATGTTCCAGGACCTAGCAATATGCTAGGGAACCAAGTACCTGCTCTCATGGATCTCACCTCTTGGCAGGGTTTTCAATCTCCTGTTCTTCACTCTTTCAATTTATTTAAATATTGCTGCAGATAAAACTTTTAAGAATGTAGCACTGCTCAGTTTATTCTTCTGCTCACATCTGCCTTCAGTGGTTCTCATTCATACAGAATGAGGCCTTAATTCCTTGGCCCAATACTCAAGAGCCCCACGATCTGGTTCCAAATCTGGTTTATGACCTTATGTCC